TTTGTTGTACTTTTTTAATCTTTTAAAGGTCTATTAATTTTTAAAATAATATTAAATTTTTTATAAATAAACTATCAAATAAATATATTTTTATAAAATTTATATTTAAATAAATTTAAAAAAAATTTTAAATATTTATAATTAAATTACATATTCAATGTTTTTTTTATATATATATATATAAAAGATAAATTAAACAATAATAGCATACAAAATTTTAGCAAGTAATTCTTTCTCTCTTAAAAGATATAAAATAGAAATATTTTTCAACTCTAACAATATGATTAGAATTTTTAATTTAAAATCTTATTTATTTTAAATTTTTATTTATTTAATAATATTATATTATAATTTTTATATAAAATTATTTAATATATTATAATAAATTTTATAAATATTAAATAAACTATTTTATCAGACTTTTTTTGTAAATTCAGATTTAACTTATTTAATAAATTAAATATTTTAAAAAATTTAAATTAAATATATTGGTTAAATAGATCAAGTTAGGATATATTTTAAAAAGCCAAGTTATAGATATTTATCGAATGACCTGACTCATCTCTATCTTCATCTTTCATACTTGTCATTAAAATATGAGAAATATTAGTAAAATATTTTTTAACATATTTATTATAACATAGTTTTTATTATTATCTAAAATTTATTCAAAACTACTAAAATCACATTGAATTCTATTTTTTTTCGCTTCTAAATTAATATTTTTTTTTATTTTTTTATTTTAATAAATTTTATTTAATAATAAAAAGTATATTACTAGTATTTAGGCAATTCTTTCAATCACATCAAACAAACAAAAACAATTATGAGTTTATTAAATTATTTCATAAATTAAATTAAATAACCTCATGCTAAATAAATTAACGTGATATCACATGGATGAATTAATTGACGTGAGATTTTTTCGTACATTAATTTTGATTTTAAGTCTTAGAATTAAAATTAAAATTTAAAAAAAACTCTATTTCACTTAATAATTTTATCTAATTGGAATGCAATTATTTTTAGGTGTATGATGCGGTAACTTAAAATTTTTTTATAAGTACTGTATCTAAAAAATTTATACCAATAAAAAAAAAACACATGTCAAGTTAAAAAAATATTATTATATAATTTATTTAAAATTATATTATTTACTGGATGATCCTATTATTATATATATATATATATATATATATATTAAATATTTTATTTTATTTTATTTATAAATTTTAGTTTCAAATAAAATATAATTTATATTTAAATAATTTCTATTTAGTATAAATAAAAAATTATAAATAATATATTAATTTAATAATTAAATATTAATAATAATAAAATTTAAAATATAAAAAATATATTAATATAATATTATTATTTTATTTTTAAATTTTAATTTATTTAGTTTTACCTTAAATACTTTTTAACTTATTTAAATGTAATAAACATAATAAAATTATTAAATAAATTTATTATTTAAACACGCATCTAACTATTATTAATTAAAAATTTTCATATATAATATTCTGAAAATTTTTATAAGTACTACAGAATTTATTTTATTTTTAATAAAGAATACATGAGATATAAATAAAAATAAATTAATAAAATTTTATTTATAAAAAAATTAAATAACATATTAATAGAATTTTTAATATGACATTTTAACTTCATTAATTTCTCTCAAATGTGATATCCTAGGAGTAATTTACACAAAATATATATAAGCAGAAAAGATAAACCCCATCAAATACAAACGTTTAATGTGAATTGCCAACGTGGCAACTCTGCAAGTTCAGGTCCCTCACGCTTGACTTGTCTTCTGATATTACGATGAATTTGGGCCACTACCAAAGAACCTTAAGCGATGTGCTTATCTTTTTAGCTTCCTTTCGTCACCCAAAAGATGGTGATCATATAAACTAATCATTTTTATCATTCTCTAATTATTAAACCTCATATCTAGTCCATCTCTCACATCACTGCTAGATTTTGCAGCCCGTATCTCGTATTTTGACACCACCAAACATTAATTCACAGTGATTATTACAGCATAATCTATAATTTTTAAGTTTAAATTCAACTGAAAATAAGAATAAAAAACTAGTGATTTAACTAGATATTAAAAAACAGAGAGTTACTTACCATAGTTTTTCTCTTAAATAATAATGATAATAACAAAGCATCCCACAAGTTGGTAATGTTCTACTTTGTAATTGAGTAGAAAGAAAGAGGAGGCTTGTGGGGTTGTAAAAAGACAGAAATCAATGTCAAAATCACGTGTTGGCAAATGAGCAGAGCACAGGCACATGTCGACCACACTCCACACTAGCTAGGAATTAGGACTGTGTGTTACGTGTCAGCGTCGTGTGTGAGTTGATAATGGTTATGATAGAAGCTATAGCCACTAGTATCAAGTATCCACTACGGAGATAGTGCCATGGGCCATCCCATATGAAAACTTCACCATTACTTTCCCAACAAGAGATGCGCACCCACCCCCTAACCAGCCACAAATAATAATCTCCATTGATGCCAAGACCCAAAATTCACATATTATTTCCACCACTCAAAAATTTAACTAGTGTATAATATTCTATATGGTTTTCTTTTTAATATTTTACTTAATTATTATTGTTATTATTATCTATATTCGAAAAATATATCCCTTCATAATGAAGCGACACCTATAAAAACATTTTCCAAGGAAAAAAAATCTTTTACTATATGAACTTCTTTCTCAGCTTTTCTTCCTCTGTATATCTCCCTTAATTTGGACACCGAATTTGTGCATGATGTGATGTCTCTGGTAACTTTCAAACCTAACTAGTGCCCATATTCAACGGTCCTAATGACACAAGCAAACGATCATCGTTATCTTCAAATGTCATGCAGAAAATTTTACTATATTTCAGTACCCCGATACATGACACTTCCATTAAGAGAGGTAGATATAGAAGATGAAATCAGCACATATGACTATAGCACAACAAAACTATATTTGATTGGCATATATTATCTTTATTGCCAAACAAAATTTACACGATGTATACATATAGTAAAAATATGTATATAATCATATCAAATCAGTTAAAAGAGATCAAAGGAAAAAGGCATCGATCCAATTTTATCTCTCTCTATCTTTATCAAACTCGATGCTGATTGTTGACCGACCAACCCATCCACTAGTAGTAGCAATCAACGTATTTCAATGGTTCACCTTAGTCCCCTTATGGGAAGAGAATCTTTGCCACTAGAAATGTTATCGGAACCTCATACGAGGGCAAAATGGAAAAGGGTAGGTCAAGAGCAAGGTAAATTTACTAGTCAAACCAATGGAAGTGAAAAAAGTGAGACCAACTTTTGCTACTTCCTTGCTGATTCTACCCTCCCTGTTGCAAGTGCATCAAATTCACTACATATGTGCGTGTGGCTATGTATATATTCTGATTCTGAACGAATATATATAATCACTTTTATTTGGACAGGGATGCATTCACCCAAATGAACCTTCTGATTTTTCAAAGTGCTATCTGCCGTAATTGGTGGCGTATCTGTAAAACTAAAAGAAAAGTGTAGTCATGTAGGTTGTAGCTATTTTTATAATATTTATAGCACTGTCTGGTTAACTGTAGATTCAATTATTAGTTTCAACTATAAGTTAGATTCTTGAGTTTGAGTTTTTAACTTATTGGTATACTTTGTTTATAATATAAGATAAAAGCTAACTTAATTCTAATTAATGTATAGGCATGTACACATATATACGTGTTTATGTGTGCATGTGTTTATGAACTGGAACTTACATTGATAAGTATCTTAAGCAAGTGTGTATAAGACGTATTTTTTGGGTGGTTCACAATCTTTATCGTTACGACAAATAAATACTAAGGATTATGTTAATGAGTATTGTAAAAGTGCCAAGTAAAAAATAATAAAAAGAAATCACTATAAAAGTATGTCAATAATACAAATTTTATATTTTCCCTTTTATCTTTAATTTCTGAAACAGTATTTTTAAAACACTTATTAACATGTTCATAAATTTAATTTTTGATATTTATTTTTGTTTTAAAAGTCATAATTACTTAGCAAGTAGTCTACCTTGTAATAACCTACTAATATTGACATAATTTAAAATCGACTTTTTTTAATCATATCTAAAGAGATGAACATTTATATATAACAAATTTTTGTTAAAAGTATAAGATATAAAAAATTCAATACATTAATAATATTAAATGTAATAATTTATAATAAAAAATTAATTTATTCTCTTCATTTCTGAAAAATAATCATTTAAAGTTGTGACATAAGAACTAAGAAAGCATTTAATTATTTTGTTTTTATTAAAAGTATTCTGAAATTTTTTATTATATCAATTTTAGAATTTATTTATGCAATAAATGAATAGAAAGAGAAGCTAGAAAATGCGTTTTGAGATAATAATTATTTTAAGAGTAAAATTAAAAGAAAAACTAATTTTATCTTTAAAATATAAAATAACTATTATTTTGAGAAAAATAAAATTGGCAAAAATGATGATTGTTAAGTATTAAACATTAATTAAATGTCTTTAGACTTGCGTTAACATTACGTGACTCTTTATTCTTAATGCTTCTTACTGAAATGAAGCAATAATTATGGTGAATTGTCGTGTGCTCTATGATTGGTGGGCAAGAATGTTTGTTTTCTTGTATGCAATGCTTATTAGTAATTTTTTTTGGTATTTTTAAATCGGGTATTTATTGATCTTTTCTTAACACTAGAAGCCAACCATTGACCAATGATGGAGCAATAAATTTAACAGCAACTTGTTACACTTGAAATATCCAAGAAATTAAACACAATAATAACAATAATTTTGGCAAATGTTAAACTTAATTGGTTTCAAAAGAATCAGCATTGTTTTATTGTACTACAGCTAGTGAGGGAAAATTACCGTTTGTCTAAGCTAACACACATCTCTATATATGTACGCCACATCAATCCATACAGTCGCTGAGCCTTTGGCCAAACAAAGCATCTTAATATCTTTCATGGTCCTTCCAATTGGCAAGGAAAAGGATAAAGGAGAAAGAACAAATAAACCAAGGTGAGAGATGGTATATTATCATTGCACTTTTCATTTTCTATGCACGAAAATCAAAAACAACAAACACAATACTAATGTCAACTATAAATAATTTGTTTTGATGTGCTTGAGTTTCCTCTGATGTATAAAAAGCTTGTGTTACATAGGCCATATAGCTGCAACTACAGTTAGAGCGATGACCACCTCATCAAGTGCCCCAAACATGGAAGAAGAGAAGGGACTAGAAATAACTGAAAGAGAACCGGACTTGGAAGATCAGCTACCAGCTGCTGAAATTCAGTCTCAGCCATGGACAGAACAGATAACTCTAAGAGGAGTGTTGGTTAGCATGATGATTGGAATCATATATAGCATAATAGTGATGAAACTCAACCTCACAACTGGAATGGTTCCAAACTTGAATGTATCTGCTGCACTACTTGCCTTTGTGTTTGTCCGAAGCTGGACCAAAGTGCTCCACAAGGCTGGCTTTGTATGCAAGCCTTTCACCCGCCAGGAAAACACCATCATACAGACTTGTGCTGTTGCATGCTACAGCATTGCTGTTGGAGGTTAGAGGCTTGTCATTTATCTTCTTCAAATTATTTAACGAGTTTATTAATCTACATATGTGTGATTTCTTCTAAAAAGTTTGATTTGTGTGGGGGTGTGTGTGTGTTGCAGGAGGATTTGCTTCCTATTTGTTGGGATTAAATAGTAAGACTTATGAGTTGTCTGGAGTGGGAAACGAGGGTAACAGTCCAAGTGCTGTTAAAGAACCTGGATTTGGTTGGATGACTGGCTTCCTTTTTGTGGTTTGCTTTGTTGGACTCTTTGTTTTGATTCCACTCAGAAAGGTATTAATTTCGTATCCTATGTCTTTGCTGCACATCTTTCAGCAATTAGAGAAGCAAGAATTAATATTGGATGCATATATGTCGAACTTGTTAAAATCACTCTTCAACTATTTTTCTTTTTCTAAGTTTTCCATTACGTTTGAGATATGCCTAACTGGTCAAGAGTATTGAAGGATAGTTTCAGTTGCATGTTATGAAAACTCACACAAGCAAATAAGACTATCAAAAACTCTGGCTTACTGAACCTTTTGTGCTGCAGATCATGATAGTTGACCTCAAATTAACTTATCCCAGTGGCTTGGCAACAGCGGTTCTCATCAATGGTTTCCATACCCAGGGTGATAAAATGGCCAAGTACCGTACTCCTCTTTTATTCATCAGATTTCAATTGTTGCAATTTATAGATCTAGGAGTTAATTTATTATTCCTACGCACATTTTCTTTACTAGATTACTTTTTACAATTTCCTTTTTTCTCTTTGTATTTCTCTTCTTCGTAAAAAAAATGTTGTATAAAGTGTAGTACAATAATCCAATAATCAAATGTGAACCAAATTAAAGGCACTTTCTGATAATAATCTTATTATAATATTGCAGGAAGCAAGTACATGGGTTCATGAAGTATTTTTCTATCAGTTTCTTGTGGGGTTTATTTAAGTGGTTCTTTTCAGGGATAGAGGACTGTGGATTCGAACAGTTCCCTACCTTTGGATTGCAAGCTTGGAAGCAAACGTATGGTTTTTAGCATATTAGTTGCTTTGAAAAGGATAGTTCCATGCCACATGCTACTGATCATTGTTTGAATTCAATTTGCAGATTCTACTTTGATTTTAGTATGACTTTTGTGGGAGCAGGAATGATTTGCTCCCACCTTGTGAACTTGTCTTTGCTCCTTGGAGCCGTGATCTCTTTTGGGCTCATGTTTCCGCTTATTGATCGGCTTAGAGGAGATTGGTTCCCTGACAATTTAGAAGAAAGTAACATGAAGGGTTTATATGGTTATAAGGTTTTTATATCAATTGCTCTAATCCTGGGTGATGGCATATATAATTTCACCAAGATTCTAGTTTCCACAGTCCTCAACGTCCTTGACAGAACGAAGAGCAAGAATCATAAAAATGGTAAAAGCAGTAGTCACATACACACTAGCTTCTTTTAAATCTTATCAAGAATTATGTATATCTAATGTTGAAATCGTTTTCTTACTGCAGCAGTAGCTGCTGATCGGCAGGGGAATCCCACTAGAGACCTGAAACAAACCGAAACATTTCTCAAGGAGAACATTCCCATGTGGATTGGAATCATCGGATACGTTGCTTTCACAATCATTTCCATAATTACAATACCACACATGTTTCCTCAGCTGAAATGGTACTACATCGTGGTTGCTTATATATTTGCTCCTTCCCTGGCATTCTGCAATGCTTATGGAGCAGGTCTCACTGATATAAACATGGCATATAATTATGGGAAAGTTGCACTCTTTACGCTGGCAGCTATTACAGGAAAAGAAAATGGTGTGGTGGCAGGACTTGTGGGTTGTGGTCTCATTAAATCCGTGGTCTCAGTGTCTTGCATTCTGATGCAAGATTTCAAAACAGCTCATTACACATCTACCTCTCCCAGAGCAATGTTCATATGCCAAGTAATCGGCATTGCAATGGGCTGTGTAACAGCTCCTCTGAGCTTCTTCCTATACTACAAGGCATTTGATGTGGGAAACCCACATGGAGAATTCAAAGCTCCTTATGCACTAATTTATAGAAATATGGCAATTATAGGTGTTCAAGGTTTCTCAGCATTACCCGACCATTGCTTGCAGCTTTGCTTCGGGTTCTTTGCTTTTGCCATAGGAGTAAACATGGTGAGAGATTTTTCACCCCAAAAGATTGGGAAATGGATGCCATTACCAATGGTTATGGCTGTACCATTTCTGGTGGGGGCATACTTTGCAATTGATATGTGCATGGGTAGTCTGATTGTGTTCGTGTGGCACAAGCTCAACTCCAAGAAGGCAGAGTTGATGGTTCCAGCAGCTGCCTCTGGACTAATTTGTGGGGAAGGACTATGGATTCTTCCTGCAGCGATTCTAGCTCTGGCAAAAATTAATCCTCCTATCTGCATGAAATTCCTTGCTTCCTAGAACTTGCGGACCGCATAAAGCATTTGAATGCCTCGAGTTTTCTAATGCTATAGGAATTTGAAAGAGAACCCTTCTTGTTTTTTTGGTAAACGCTACTATCCCCCACACACAGTTGGCACTGAAACAGTTTGTAACATCAAAATTTTCTCTCAAAAATAAGGTATGTTTTTCTACTGCAGCTATTGCAGGTACATCCCCCCGCCCCAACAAAATTAATAACGAAACCCCTCCCGTGTTGAGTAATCGGTGATTTTTCAGCCTTACCTGAAAATGGGATAAACAATGCATAACCGACAGATTTAAGCAGATGATCAAACAACAAAAATAGGCTAGAACCTCAAGAGAAATTCGTACAAATGCGTGTGGCCAGGCACCAACAAAGTACATTGATTCAGGGTTCAGTTCCCAAATTTCTGCAACTCTTGTAAAATATATATATATAGGGTGAAAATTAGAATAAGAATGTTCAACAAACAAGGCTAATAGATAAACAAGGATTTTTCAATTGTATTGAAATTATTTCATACATTACTCAATATTATACACAAGTTCGCAGAGAAGTGCAAAACACTGGACAGTGAGTTCTTACACAATTTGACATTCAAACGGGTGATACACTAAACTAATATTCATCCTGTTATTATACCAGCCAATACATCACTTTTGCCTCGTACATAAATTGTGTAAACTAGACGAATTGCATCCAGCCATCCATCCAATGATTCCCAAGAGTCAGCAACCTTGATAATGCAAGATGTAAAAATGAAGATTAGTGCTGCATTTTCAAAAGCTAAAGAGATTCTCATGTTTATAGCTTGAGATGAAGCACAATTCAAAAGATTTCATCAACCTGCCTACAGAAATTTGTTAAATTTGGATTTGGAAGAACAATTTTTAAAAGACATCAGTAGTGAGTGGGGGAGGGATTAATCAGGAAATATATGAATGAACTTTGCCTTTCTATGCAATTCAAGACAGAATGGACAACAATAGTACAGGTTTCATGTAATAGCATTCTCCATTCAAAGTTGTTAATCCCATCACATAATCAGATATGCTATCACACAGAACAAGCCATCACAAAAACATGAGTACGGAAGTGGCAGGAAGTTGTAGGGACGATCAAGAGTTGGGAAGTGGTAATTTCATTATTGAATGTGGATAAGTCATGGTTATTTCATTATGAAAAAGGTCATGGCTTTGTCTTCCCAAAATTGTTCTATGCTGTTTTCAACCAAAATTTATTTAGTGCTATTAATTAAAGAGTCTTAGATATGTGCGGAGGAAGGAAATAATAAATTTGTGGAATATGCATAAACTCTGGTCAATGTAACCGTTGCTTACCAAGAAAATTGATCCAAGACAATTAAAGAGTCTTAGATAAGTGAGGAGGAAGGAATTAATAAATTTGTGGAATATGCATAAACTCTGGTCAATGTAACCGTTGCTTACCAAGAAAATTGATCCAAGACTTGTATCTATGCAAAGGCCTGCACCAGGTGGTAAGGTCAGATCAGCACATGCTGATACAGAAACAATATCTGCTATATCTACTTTGATAATCTTCTTATCCGCATTCACTGAATCTGATCTGCCTGAGAGACTTTGAGTTACATGTCGCTGTTCACCTCTGGGTATCTGATCAAAGGGAGTAAAGTAAATTATTAATTATAAATTAGCATTTGTAATAGTAGAATGTAGGGATTATTCAGTGGTTTTAAAACTAAATGTGAGTTGCCTATTAAATATTTCAATTTGTCAACCATGTCTTACCTGCTGAAGCTTTTCATGGTCCAAAAAGAATTCTGATCGTTTCCAGTCACTATGTGGAGCAATTGTTGTCCCCACAGGAGGTGCAGTTAAATATCCAACCTTAAGGTATGGTAATGGTAGCTGAGAAAAATGATTTCTGTCAAAGTTAGTATATATATAAATTATTCCATCAGCCAACACTCATACTTGCATAGTATTGAAACAGCTATGACAATAGCACATATAAATTCAAGTGAGAAAATAAATTAACTTCTAATAAAAAGATTAGTTGACTCTATAAATACTAATTAAGCAAATGAGATCCAATAAAATAGCATGGTTACTTAACAAGAAACAAAATTCAGAAACTTAAAAGAGCAATTTTTTTCAAGTCATTTAAATGATACGATCTGCTTCATATTGCAATGTTGGTCCAGGTCAAAAGCTAATTTAGGATAACATGTACTCACCATAGAACGCACCAATCGCAAGGCACTGCTATAAACCTGTAACATACCAGAATAAAAATAAATAAATAAATAAATACTGATGATAATAATGCTGGGGGTGATGGCTGTGGTGGTTGATGGCATGATTAAAATTGGAGGAAAAAATTAACAGGATTGGAGGAAACAAATAGAAGATGTTAACTAGACTAAAAAGTCTTTCTAATCCAAAAAATTGTATAACGGCCAATAAATATTTACAAAGGAAGACAATAAGACTGGCTTCTTACGGAATAATTTGGTTTCAAAGCATGAGCAGCAGCAATATATATTGCAGACTGGCTGTACAACTCATTTGGTGAAACTTCTTGGGCACTCACCAATCCCCCAGTTCTTAAAGTGTCCTCTGCTAATCCGTACTGCAAAGATATTTGGTGAGTCAATTATACACTCCTAATACGGTTAGACATAAGTCAATCCAAGACACCAAAGTATATTGTGGGATTAAATATGAGTAAAAGGAAGAAGCAATAGGACCAGAACAGTTCCAAGATTGTAAATTGCCCGATGGAAATCAAATTGCAACTGTATGGCTGCACGAAACTGCAACAAAGAATATGGAAAAATCATAAGTGGAAGAGGAAATAAGTTATATTCAAAAGACAGCTGATTATATAACAATTTTTTGTCACTTCCATCTGGTTCCCTCCAAAAAAATTTTTTACCTTGCTGATAGCTGTTCTCACAATCTTTTGCTTTTCTCGAGCTGGAACAATGGCACTGAGTTCCTAAATTGGAAACCAATTTTTTATACAAAAGAAAAGAAATTAATTGACAATTTCTAATAAAGAAAATTATGAATTCTTCAACAGCATAAGTACAATGTTTACCAAAGAATTATCAAAGTATAAGGAATATATTCTGAAGAAGAGAACAAAGTAAGAATGGAATAGGCATGTATGGCAGTTTCAATGGTTTTTGAAGTTTTATCCCCTTTTCTTTCTGTATCTATAGAAGCTTTCCAGATAACCTTGCCCATGTCATTTTTTTGCCAAATTTTACATAGCAGGTCTCAGCCAAAGAAAAGAGGGAATATATTACACAATCCATAGCCAAAGTAAAACTATGTTGACTCTTTCCTGACATGGATCGACCATTCAACTATGCTAATTCTATGTTGTTCCTTGTTCCCTAGGTATTGCTGTGCAAGGCTGTTTTGAGTAAAGCACTGAATGAGCTAAAAGTGCTATATCAGCATCCCAAATGTAATGCAAAATAAGGAAGGGTTCTTGTATTTTCCTCTAGGATTAGTTTTGGCAAAAGTCTTGGAACACTAACACGTATATCTATGGAAGTAGCTCACAAAGTGATTAGAAGGAGTACTAACTAGGTCAAACTTGAAAGAATAATGCAGTAAATGTTAGAGGAATTGAAGATAGGAAATTTTGGAAGGGTCACAAAATCTCAAGGAAGAAAATAGTTTCCTAAGAGGGAATTTAATATATTGGAAGAAACATAAGGGCTTACATGAGTGTCTATGGTGTAAGAAGAAGACTAATACAAATATCCAATGAGAAAAGTAGATCAAATTAAAGATAGTATAATTAAAACAGACACATGTAGACCGAAGAAAACTTTGGAAGAAATCAATAAAAGCAGACCTTAATCAAAATTGTTTTACGGAAGATTTAGTTTATGATAAAGCCAGTGGCATCAACCGATTCATGACTGAACAGTGCCTGATAAGGCTTGACAGTTTATAGAATAAAGAATGTTTCCAAATTCCAACAATTTAAATTTTAGTCACATTGCTCCGACCTCACTATGAGACCCACAGCTACATAATCAATCATTTGAACTCAACTACTAAAAGTAAATAGTAAAACAGACTAATTACGAAACATGACCGTCTCTTGATACATGTAAGGCATGCAGCATGTGCATACACATGATAATTTTCTTAGATATGCAACTTTTATTAATTTTTAATTACTAGCTAGCAAACAATATGGCATATATGGTCGATTGCTTTGGGATTCCTTGTAATTTTACTCACATTACATTCATTATATAGTCTTACCATTAGAATTTTATACTCCTATAATTTATTAAGTACCATATATAAATCATGTAATAGTAATAAAGGAAAAAATTCAATTATTTTTTTTGGTTTTTACATAAATATGAAGCTTATATCCATTATTACAACTTCCAAATGCAAATTATTTCCAAGTTCAAGCTTAGATTGTTGAGAATAATACTTGAAAGTGATATTATGATTGAACATTTGGTTTAGATTTACCCACAAGAGCTGTGCTTTTGGTATAAAGAAAACTTTAGGAGAAGTAAAAAGCTCCAGGTCTTAAAGAAAGGTGAAAATGGCTTTTTATATATGCTTATGTATAGTTACAAACACACATAAATGAGAGGGGAAAACCCAGACATGTTATTAGAAGTAATCATAAACATACAGGTATTTTTTCTATCGCAATTTGAATGAAGTAGAGAAAAGCATACACACTGGCAAGTTAAATATACCTGAAGAGCAAGTCCCCAGTTATTAAGTGCCTGAAATAAATTCATTGAGTCAGTAACAGGGTCTCAGCAATGCAATGAGCATGCTTGTGAAGAAAATTACGTGTAGAACAGAACAAGTACAGGATGAAAAAAATTTATATCTAACAAAACAAGAAAAAGCTGTTTCAAAATCACATTTTGACACCAAAAGAAGTTGCAGGACAAATTCTGGACAATTAATTGAGAAGAACCTGAGGACTGTTCCAGTTCAGGTGGACTGCTTTTTCATAATTCCTTGTTGCCTGGAAATTTAACAAAAATTAAGTTGTGCAAAGGTGAGCCTCTCTCTATCAATCAACACTCAACAACTATAACCACAAATGTGAAAATTTCTACCATGCAAGTTCAGTATGTATTTAATTATTTATCAAGCATTATCAAACATGGAGCAAGGGATTGGTATAAGAGCATGAACTGCCAAAAATCATCATTTTCTCCAAGGCCAAAATATGCACAAAACCATTACCAGAATGCGGCATTTATTTTTTCCTGACCTGTTTCCATAGCTCTTCAGCTTCCTTTGTGCGGCCACGCATCTTTGCCCGATCAGAGATTGCTATAGCCCAATTGTAGAAAGCCTGGATACAATCAAATGAAGGGGGAAATGGAAAGTAAAGACACTCATTTTGTGTATAAAAAAACTTACTTAGCTTATATGCAAATAGCAACAATTTTGAGCTCTCGTATCATATCAATAGACTCATGACAGGAGGGCTACTCAAGTATAATTACAATATGGACAGCATTGATCCTGCAGATAGATTGGCTACTAGTAGTTCAGTGGTTGCAAGATAGGAGAGATGGCTACTGCTCCTTAAGTAAGGATACTTATTTGGTAAAGTATGACTGGTATAAAATGTACCTACATACATGGGAATTGTGGAATGATATGGCCTGGAAATTCCAAAGGAATGAGCTAAAAAAATAAAACGGTAATGTATGAATAGCTCTTCTTTTTACTTTATCAAGGGGCCCAAAGGATTACACTTAAAACAGATCTAGTGGTGTAGTCAAACCAACCTTTGAGGGATGCACAATCTTCGCTCAATATGGGCTGAATCATTGCAGTTCTTTTAGACACTTCTCTTGACCCATGTATTAGCAGTTAATTAGTTAGAACAGACTCAATAAGTTGACAACTGTACTGTATCAACAGTTGATTACTTTGAAAAGTGGAGTTGTGTGTATGTAAATAATGGGTTGGACTTAATGGAGGGTAGGCATTAGATATAGAATAGGAATTTGTGGAGCAAATGAGCCAGGTATCTTGAATATCTAGGAATGAGAGAAAGAGAGAGAGTATTTCATCATATCATTCTTGGCCACTTGTTCTGTATTACATAAGACTGATCAAGGCTGTTTCTGCAATAAAGTCCCTCAGTTCATCCCATTTCTGGTCCAATTTCATCAAGTTCACATTATTAATTAACCAAAAGGACTGAAACTTGTTCAACAAATTATCTGAGTTAAGAGCTTTACTGCTTGGCTAAGCTTTAACTTGTTATAGCTTGTATAAGTGTACAACAACAACAATAACAATGAAGTTTTGTCCTACTATGTGAGGACAACTACATAGATCACACGATGCCATTGAGTTCAGTTAAAACCAAATTTTCAAAAATATAATTAATCAAAAAGTCTCTTTAATAACTTTATCTAAAGTTCTTTTGGGTCTCCCTCAACCCCTTTTTAACCTAAAAAATGAATAATAAACATAAAAATGCATATAACTTTTTCATTTGCATGTGCTGCTAGTTTAAATTTTTAGTGGCACTTACATTTAAATACAGAATCTCATTAACAGCTCAGAGTTGAGTTGAGCTCAACTGTTCTAATGTTCAACTTAAGCACAACCTTACCCACATCTTAGGTAAAAATTTGCTATCATTCATCTAAAAACTTCACAAAAAAGGATATTTTTACATACATCATGTAGTGTGGGACAAAGGCAAGTGGCCTCATCATACTTCTTACATGCCTCCTCAAGCAAAGCATCTTTAGAAGGTGAAGTGGAATCTGGACTAACATTATCAGCACTTTCCTGCATGCCAACAAATACTAATGTAAAGCTTGGACCAAGTATAGCATACTTACAATTCAAACCAACAAATTTTGTCTGTAATGGATATCCAAGGATTATTACAAGTAAAATAACATGAAGTGCAATCCCATTTCATAAGAAAATGCAAAATACATATTTCAAATTTCAGTCAGACAAATGCAAAATATAATCAGCCAACAAAAGTCCATGGTGTGTATTTATGCATACTAATAGTACATCATGCTAAAATAACTTATACTGGACAATAAGTTGATAGCGTTACAAGCTGAGCATTCTAACCAAAAATAGGGTGGAGGGCAGAGCCAACAACTAAAATAATATGAAAATCCCGCAGACTTCAATATTACAAGAACAAAGTGAGACAGTTGCTCAAACCTGAAGCACCAATGCCCAGTTGTATAGTGCATCATAATCATCAGGGTTCCTCTCAATTGCAGTAGCATACCTAGAAATCCAAGTAAGAAATTCTAAGTTTGAATGCAAAATGGACAATGGCAGTAAATAGAAGAGGTAATATTACCTCCTGGCAGCGAATGTAAGAATCCTTTGTCGGGACCGGCCCTCTTCATCCACACCTACAACACTATTTATCAAATCCATTGCAGCGTTGTTCTGGTCCGTCTGCTGTTGCTGTTGACCTTCTGGGCTGAAAATTTTGAAATAACACAATGTAAGTTGCATTTCATGCATGCACACGAGAAAAAAACTCTCAAAGTCAAACCCCTAAATTTGCATCACTTAGATTCACCATAGCTGAATAAAAAGAAACTACACTCATTCAATAGCTACATGGGCACTAAAATTAGAAGCATTTGTCAGTGAGATATTTAATAGGTCATTTACGATCTACAATTTGTGTGTTCCACTGGTTCCCTAGAAAAGCAAAAGATTGCGACGATAACCTGTAGGGAGAGTTGGCATCTTCTCTCTCGGGTTCGGAATCGTTTTTCAATCCATTTAGCAATTCTCTCATGGTGAAAGTTCGACTTCCTTCGTCTTTTCGGAGCTGAGGTTTGGGAGAAGGATTAGCATCGGCGTCATTGGAATGGATCGCGCTTTCCCTGAGATCTGCTCCGTTTACCGATGGATCAACTTCGGATCCCGATTTCGGCTCCAATTGTGCTTGTGTTTGTGGTACTTCTGTTGGCTCTGGTTCTGGTTCTGGTTCTGGTTCTGGTTCTGTTTCCGGCAGGGGATTTGGTTGGGATTCAGGTTCGGGCGGTGGTTGAAGTCCGTTCTGCGATTCCGGTTCGGGCATTTCGAGTGTTGAAGGAGAGAGAGAGAGAGAGGAGAGTTTTGGTCCGATGCGGGTATCAAACAGAGTCGACGAGAGGAGAACTGTGGGCAGAGGCAAAACGAGTGCTGTTCTGAAGGAGAAACAAATGCAGAGTACTCTTTTGTTATAAACGTTTAACTGCAAATTGCACTAGTTTTACTCTTATGTCTTAATGGAATTTTCGGTCAAATCACTATAATTACATAAAAATATATTCTATGATAATTTTAAATTTTAATAATTTTTAAAAATAATTAATCATTAATATAAATATTTTATTTATTATATAAAAATAAATAAGCGGATAATTTTAAAATAAAAACAAATTTCATCTTAATATTCAATAATAAATATAAAATAAATTACTTGATTTGGTGAACAAAATAATTAACTCTCAAAAATATTTTTATTCGACAATTTTTTTTAAATTACTTTTATTTAAGAACTTACATTTACAAATTATATATAATTTTTTTTTCTGAGAATGAAAATATAATATTTTCTATACCTAAATAAGTACTCTTAAAATTTCATAACTTCTACTAAAAAAATTACATATTACAGTTATTAATTATTACATAATTTTGAGACCCGTTTTATTTATTATGATTTTTTAATAAAATTATTAACATATGACATTTTTGATAAATTTACTTAAATATGATTTTTTTAAAGAACGTCAATGACATTTATATATATCAATTAATTAGTTAATGTAAAAGTCATTATTAATAATTTTAGCGTGGTAAACATAATAATTTTTCTTAAACAACAATTATCATTAGTAACTTTAAAAAAAAATACTAAAAATTATAATTGATGAGTTTTGAAACAAATAAAAAAATACTAAAAATTGTAATTAACGATCTTTGACTATTAAAAAAGTTTTTTATTTTTTATAAGTTATTAATGATGATTTTTAATTATTAATTATTTTTTAAAAGTCATCAATGACAACCTTTAACCCATGAAATTATTTAAAAAATATTGTTCAGTAAGTAATTATTAATGAATTTTTAATTAGTGAAATTATAAATACTATAGTCTCCATTGATAGTAAGTTGCTCCTAAAAGCTTTTGAAATATTTATTAATCTTGTGTCTTTGAATTTTGTGTTTGTTAGAAAAAAAAAAACGAGTGTGATAATTGTAATTTATTTTAATGGTAAAATTATAGTAAATATGTGACATTTATATGGGAAAATTCAACATGTTTGTATCTTTCATATAATGTATCATTTAGAGATTTAGATTATTGATTTTGTCAATGTATTGAAGTTTCATTTCCAAGAACAATGGAAAGTATTATGTATCCATGTCTAATCTCGATTTTTGAGAATATTATACAATTTCAATAACCAACAATGATGATGTTTAACAAATATTTTGAATATATCTATAACATCTTTATTTCTTATCCAATATAAATAGTAATTTATATTGATGAATGAAAATTAAATGAATTTCTTGTTATATTTATAGCTCAAAGAATTAAAAAAGCGTAAAACTTTTATTCCTATTATTAGATTCATGAAAATTCAAAGATATTTAAAGCCTTTGAAATGAAATAGTTTTAAAAATTTTAATTTATGAATAGAGCAAAAACTATGATTTTCATGTTAACAATTTACTTACTTCATATTATATATATATTTAAACTTAAAAATAAACAACATTATTTCTTACAAAGTAAATTTCTAATTGAAACTTGAATGTAAACTAAAACCAAAATAATTAACTATTAATATCACAAATACTTCAAATCAATGATTACAACAAAATTTACCAAAGTTTTATAAATTTTAAATTTGACATTAAAATAATTACATAACCTTATTAATTTTAATTGAAAACTTAATAAAATATTACAAACTCTAAATAATTCAAATTCTACAAAGCAATTTTTTCTCACAATATCACTAGACTATGATTCTAGAACAGACCAACCTTCTTTTAATTCTCTTTGATTTCATTTCCTAAAAATAATTAGTAAGGGTGAGTATCTTTCGTCTCACTAAACCCTTTATTTTATAAATAAATCATGTAATACAAAAATATCATACAATCTAATATGCACTAAGATAATATTAACTCATATATTGTATTCACGAATTTTACAACATATCAAACATAATAATAATAATATGATCAGTATTTTCAAATATACATTAGACTTATATCATTTCATATATTCTCATATTAAACAGTATGTCATAATACGTGTGTCATAATCAAATTAATCAATGCATTATAATACACTGTCGATGTATTACAATGCTTGTATTATAATTACATCAATTAATCTATTATGACTCACATATTACAATCACACATCTACATTCATTGCTCTTAGAATCTCTTGAAGTCTTCTAAAGTATAGATAGTTGTTGGTTGGGCGCAGCAACACCGATACAATGTGTGCCAACCTGACCTTTTTTAGTAAATGTATAGTCAGGAGTCTAGTCAAGAAATGAATGTGTGGCCTATAATGCTTTCACTATTAGCAAATCATTGTACACCCACTTAAGAATAGCAATCATCATCCTTATTTTCTCAAGAATTTCTAAATTGTCTCCAGACTCTATACTCCTAGTGTATCTCTGTAACTATCTATATATAGTCTTAATATTTCTCATGACATTTACTTTCTCAGGATTTTAACATGACACATAATCTATTAGCATTTTTCTTTCCACTTTGATAATATAAACAATTTTAATTTTACATGCACTTCCATTCACATTAATCCTTTATTCATGAATTTTTACTAATAAAGTATTTTATCATTTGTGGACAATCAAACATTTTTGCATGTTTTCTTTTGTTCAAACAATTGACTACACTAATTGTTCATGCCTCACTTCATCTAGAATTATTACATCAACTTCATGATCTACATATAGTGTCCACTAAAATTGCAATAAACAAAATTATATTAGTGTTGTAATAATTAAGAATGGTTTCTTTTGTAGAGATTTATCTAACATATTAATAAGAATTAGTAAAAAATTTTACTTTATGAACACCCATTTGATCTCATGCTAATATGATATTCTCAAGATTCTTAAACAAAGTATTAGCTAGATATAGCAAGTATCTCTTTTTAAGAGCAAGTGAAAATATTATTGATTCACATAAGATTGGAGTCAACTAGAGGAGGCGATGTCATGCCCACACCTGCAAAGGTATAAAACAGCCACAAATTTCTTTAACAATATGTTTGGAAGCACGATCAAACTCTCTATAAAGATAGCCTAAATACTCTGATCCCGAATTGTAATTACCAATTTCATTCACATTTATTAACAATTGAAAAAATTATGCATGTATCACTAAATTACTTTTATTTGGCGTCAAAATATGTTTTAGCAAACTAAGAATATACTCATGAGCATGTTGTTGTAACCTCATATTGGAATTAAATGGAAGTCAATCAAGGTGTTGTAATAGTCACTTTAATTTAATTTCAGATCCTTTAATGTGGTTGAATCGAGTTGCTTCTCTAATAAAATTTCACACATTTCCAGTACAACTACGTAAAAGTAGTTGTAGAACTAATCACTATTGCACCATTAATTTGAAGTCCAAGTAACATATAAACATTTATAATGTAATTGTGCATTCTCCACAAAGTAAGTGAAATGTATGTGTTTAAGGCCTCTAATATTATTTAGTAAACATTTTATTTATATTTGACAAAATTGAGAAATTTAATTTAAATCAACATTCCATAAAAATTTTCATGATTTTTGTCCTAGATAGCATTATTGATAAATAACTAGAACATAATAATCTCATTACCTGTTATATATTATTTAAAATATAATTAATATATCCTCAAATAAAATATAATAATGCCAATAATTTTTTAAAGAATAACGTACAACTGTATTGATAAATAAATCTAAAAAACACTTGGAATATTAATTTCTAAATTCAATAAATATGTTAAATTAATAATTAATTAAACTATACTCCCACTTCTTAAATTAAATATTTAATTTGTAAATAAACATACTCAATAATTTAAATTAATTCATCATAATTACTATTAAAAAATAATAAATTGCTATAAATAATTATAAGGGCCAACCATTAAATTACATATTTTTATTATATTATTACATTTATGTTATATACAATAATTTTTAATGCTTTTTAAAATAAATGATAATATTTTTCAAAAACTGAAATAACCAAATATAGAACATTATATAACATAATAATACAAAATTAATTAATTTCAGCAGATGCTCATGATTAAATAAACAATAATCTGCATGCAAATTATAAATTACTAATTAATTAATTAATTAAATATATAAACTGCTTATATTAAATAATAATTTTATTACACGTTAATATATTAGAAAAATATATTACATACACATTTATAAAATAACATTCCATTGTAATAATAATATCAACAAAAATATTTTCTAAATTAACTACAATAAGATGCTGGACATAATTAACAAAAATATTTAGATTAACCCAATATTAGCAATAAACATATTTAATAATTTGTAAAAATTCATATAATTACTTTTTAAATTATAATTATTTAAATTTCTATAAATAATTATTAGGGAATATACAAATTTATTTAACTATTTTTATTATAATATTACATTTATGTTATATAGAATTATTTTTATTACTTTTTTAAATATACTATAAAATTTTTCAAAATATGTAATTACCGAATATAGAACATTATATTATTTTCAATACAAATATTAATAAATTTCATTATTAATTATTTCAAAATATTGCTCATAATTTTTTATAAAATATTCTGCATGCAATTAGTGATTAATAATTAATAAATTAATTATAAATTTTAAAATATACACTGCTTATATTAAATTAATAATTTATAACAGATTTAAATATATTAAAAAAATTATACTACTCATAAGTAAATTATATTCATTTTTATAAATTTTGTTCTATTATAATAAACATATTGACGAAAATTTATTACTGGTTTAACCTAAATAATTTCATAACATAATTACATTATACTTTACGTTATATATAAAAAAATTATAATTTAAAAAATAAATTAATGATAACATTTTTTAAAAACAATAATTACAAAATATATATTATTATATCTT